GAAGGTAATGTTTGTATCTTCCTGAGTCGTGTAAAAGTACAGGGAGGAGAAAAGTACCAGATCGAGGGCACTGGGCGTGGCCAAGAATGGTTTTTGACAGAGCGTGTGTGAAATCCTGCGCATCTGTATCTCACAGGAACCGCTTCCTCTCCACACTGCACAGGTTGTGGCCTGGAGTGATACTTGGCAGAAACATCAGAAAATTATGGGATTCTTAATTTTTGATTCGTATTTCTCTTTGAAGGAGCAGTTCGCGCTAATCATCTGGGCGGGGCCAGTCCACTGTCCGCGCGCCCCTTTTCCATTATCCTACAAAGCAGGGGTGCGCCATGAGAAAGGCACAATGATCACCCTAATAGGTCGCTTAGACCGTGCTCTTTTGCGTGATATAGGGATACCAGCGGTCTCAAGATGTCCTCGGTAAACGATTCCGTCCCATCATAGTACGCCCACCCGGGCATCAGTTAATTTCAGTGCAACGCATGAGTAAGCATGGCTCAAGGGTGGGGCTGACTCCACCCATATGACAACCGTGGAATGTACCGAATATGTCATTTATTCAGTGTATGTTTTTTTTAGTTACTTCAACACAAGTTTCATCGATTCATTCGCCACGCTACCCTGAGGAGTATGAACGTGGTACCGAGTGCCAGTGGCTTTTCAAGGTAATGTATAATCGAGCATATTGCCATGACATTTAACTGTAGCAAGAATTAGTTGTATTTCAGGCACCTCCCGGCTACTATTTGATCTACACACTTAAGGAATACATAACTCCGAATGCTCATGAACAGCAAACGGACAAAAAGTGGTTACCTAGGGCAATCAACAACTTAACGTTAGTGAACTTGAAACGCTAGTATAATACAGTAGAACGGCGCTATTCGGCTTGGGAGGGGCATTTTTCACCATCGATAGTTTCTTTTGCAAGTTCCTGCAAAAATACATGTCGCAATTTAGCGAGACCTGCATACTTTTGTAAACTGTGAACGGAGCTCCTGCTGTTGCAGCTCCTGCCTGCTGTTGCATGGCTTTGCAGGAGTTTACAGATAGTCACAGGAGGCACCGACAGTGATCAAAGGGAACCAGCAAAATGCCCCCACCAAGCCGAATTGTCCTAGTAGAATCGTGTGGCAACACAACCGAGTTTGCGAGACGAGTCCACGTGCAATTTATTAGTCTATGCTCTTCTCTGACCGAGCCCAGAAGAGGCAGGGCACACATATAGATGGATGCGATGCGTGTCCCCCATTACAATTCCGCGAAGTTACTTATTTTTATTTATTCATTTATTTTTGTGAAACAGAACTCGAAGTGTACTGCGATATTTTAACTAGACATTTTTTTTCTGAATGAGGAACGCTGAGGACCTCTTACAGCGTCGGAAATAGAGGGGGAGAGACTTATTCCGTTTATCTTTACTGGCACTTGACCTTTCTATTTATTTACTCAGGTATAACCCTTCGCATCCCTTTGCTTTTCCAGGTGTCAAGACCCCTTGCCATTGATCGAAGGAGCCCTAACCATCTATGGCGGTAATAACACGTGAGTTAGAGAAACAACTCATTCAGTTTTCAGTGGTTCTGACTGAATCGATTTTGATTTTGAAATTTAGAAAATCGGGAAAAGATTGAACGTTTTCTGGTTTGACATTGATCAACCGAAGGAAGTGCCAGTGTTCGCGCCAGAGGTAAGGTTTGACAGGGCTGGTTCTTGATTTTAGCTTATTTTGGTTTGTATTCTTAATTAAGTATCCTTTCAGTCACTTGTTACATTCCGAGGAGCGTCTGCTGCACGCATTCATATGACCGGTGAAGATCAGCATGTCAAAAAGGTATGTGACAATGGCGTTGCAATGTGCAGTCCATCTCACGGCGACTTGAGAGGGCGTGTCCACGGAATGGGTTCTAAGCTTAGCGGAGGCTTTACCGTAGTGTTACCGTAGATGTGGGCAAGACAAACGGGCCAGTAAGAAATAGAAGCAGTATATGGAAGAGGAGGCAGGCAACGCGAGAGAATACTCTGGCCTTCGAGGATGCCTAGAAGAACCACATCGTTTGGAATTTATCAGATGGGCGGAGACAGGGAACGAAGTCATGGACGCCCACCGCCTGGTCTTGCCGCTCTTTCGCTGCGAGAAAAGCAGTAAGAGAAGGGGCGCGCCGTTCACCTCGATTCCTTCATCTACAGGAAAGTGCGGACGGTTTTTTGTACCTAGATCGTATCATGGATATTATGGATACTCAGAAACCACGCAGTGCTCATAAACGCTCATAAGCGACTCCGACACGCCTACCCCTAGGCGGTGTGATATGAACTGTGACTACCTTTTGAGTTATTGTTGCTTGGAACCATACACTGTGCTTCCACAAGCGAGAGCCTCTCCAGATTGGTTTCCTACTCGAAGCTCGAACCGCGTGTGGTGGATTGGTGCTGGCCGACGATAAGGAACGTGTAATGACGTTCAGCGATCTCGAGGAAGAAGTCTGCAACATTACCATCCGTAAAAGAGAGGAATGTGAGTTTTTTGATTGATTTTCTGACGACTCAGACATTCCTGACGAGAAATTGCATCCATTTCAGCGGATTCTGGAATATATGTGAGACTGGACGAGTTTGTCAGCCGCGGTATCTCGAAACACCGGGTTGCAGAAATGTACTTTGGGAACAGCTATATCGACGTTCAGATTGATGGGGGCGAAGTGTAAGTGACTCTCAGTCATTTACTGCAATGGCCGAAATATCTTGCATACACGCGAGCGGTCGCGTAGCGTGTCGTTGTATACGCTGCGCGACCGCTCGCATGTGTATGTGACACGGGCATGTGACACATTTACTTCTTCTGTTACAGACAATCTCGCGAAGCCAAGGGACCGTACCTAATCGAGGCAGCTGCCACTCATGAAGAGTTCCGTGCCAAAAATGAGATTCGAATCGCATTTGTCAAAGGGAATACGTTGCTTGCGACTAGAATGGCTATCTCCTACTCGACAACTATCGATAGTAAGTAGCGTTTACCGGCGATTTGTGTACAGCTACAAGACAAGTGATCTTCAGCCAACGTTTCTTTTGTAAGGAAGATTGTGCGATTACAGAATGTGGAGGAGAAATCACCGCCCGCGAAGGATACATTAGCATCCCCGAAATTCAAGGCGATTTCGATTGCATATGGACGTTACGCGAAAATCCTGGAAACGGTGTGAGAGCGTCTGTAA